CCGTCACGACGCGCACAGGGGCCCCTACAGCCTCTTACGTGCCTTCCGCGACAGGGTGGCAAGGCGGAGCCGTCTCGGGGACGGTAAGGTACTCATTTGGACTTGGAGCAGCCCGTGGTGTTGGCCCGTCCACCACGACGGGGTCGCCCCCCGTCTTCGATTCCCGCTACAGGTTTGAGTCCTGTGGTCCCGGTTCCCACTTTGCCGGGAACCGCACGTTCAGAGGTTGTTTTGCCTGCCCCCATACTCAGGAGTAGAGGGGGTCGGCGTGTTGTTCCTCCCCGCCGCACGGACTTTGTTTATCTGTGAATTCTGGGGGGGCTTGTGTGGTGACTCTAGTTAACCATAATTCACTTTTGGGTCACAGTTCCTACACGGACCTGGTTTAGCGTAACACCGGAGATATAGGTTGCCAAGCTAGAGCTAGCAACGCACTCTAACTTGACTCTCCTCACTGAGTACATGTCTGATACTACTATTGCTTGATGGAAAATAAAGAGTGGAAATCCCTTCTAAATACTCCGCCTCCAACTCCTTCTTACCGGCACTACAACATGCTTCTTATAAAAATACGAAAATACATTAGCATCTGTTAAGGGACATGTTTCTGGAGCTGTTTCACAAACACCCACAATTTATTGCATTATTTCATTGCCAGATGCAAGATGCTTCTCCATTTCCATCGTGTATTGCATTGTAGGAGAATAACGTGCATCAACAATACAAATAGACCGTAAAGTATGTATAATTTCTGCTTTAGTAATCTTTTTTGTGTCCCACAATATAAACATACAGTAATATGGAAGTGAGACATACTGTAGAAACATTCCTGCCAATGTCTTCACGCTTTCCACTGACCTAAAGGTTCCTGTAAAGCATTCAAAATTGCAGTAATGGACCAGAAATGGCAATGAACCAGAAAAGGCAATGACGAAGAGGACTGCAAACAAATAAACATGGATTTTAGCTATTTTGTTTCAAAATATTAACAAAATTAACTCAATGTATTATTAGGATTTTAATACATTTAACATGTCTGCCTGACAAAATGTGTTTGGTGATTAACACTGAACCCACCCGCAGGGAGGTCAAGTTATAGGCTTCTTCCCTTGTTGCTGCTTTGTGTGCAAAACCGTTTCAGGCTGTGACCTATTTAATGCCCGATATGTGGTACTTGCTGTGGAAAACAGCCTTTGGTGAGTTGTGCTTATCTGTGTTATACAGAAATGTACAAACTCAGCCTTTTACTGAAAGCATGCATCGTAACTAAAATCTTGTTATGGCCGCCCATCAGTAGCCTAGTTTTTAAAGTAGTAAATAGCCACAATACATATTTTTTGGATCACATTTATCAATTTAGGTATACTGTATGTCAAATGATTTCTTAAACATTTAAAAAAGATAAAGGATATATCCCAGCATGTAGGCTATGTTAAGGATTTCATTGTTGTACAGTGTGAACTCTATACTCAGCGCCACGTCAGCCAGAAAAAGAAACGGTGACTATGCTTGTTGATATCGTGCTGTCGTCCCCTGTGCAGCTATACAAATCAATAGAAAAGGAGAAGAGGATAACCACAATAATCATTTTCAGCTTTGCACGTTAGGAAACTCCCCCCCCATATCACTAACCAAAGTTAAAAAGTCCAAAAACAAAAGATGCTTTCTAAACCCAACTGTCTCGTTTCAAAGTTAAAAATTAATCTTCCAGGTTTACGAGTTCATCTCAGCTGAACATTACTTGAGCTTCAGCATGTTGATCCCGCTTTTTCTGCAAAATATGTTTATACTGTGCACACTAGACTAACTGTGGTTTCCAGGGGGATAAAAGGATCAGGAGCAAATCTTTCTTCTGCAATTTATTCTAATGATTATACAAGTTTGAATAAATCATATCTCTGAGGAGCACACACTGTTTATTCATTTGGTTCTGCTTCAATTGTTCACCTTCATTTTGTCTTTCACAATGCAAAAAAACCCCAGATCTTATGGAGCTATGTAGTAAGATCGAGATACCTTTACCTTCTTGGATTAAAAGGAAATGTCAAAGCAGAGAAATAACATATTGACTAAAACAAAAATGCTAAATGTTTATCCGTTCCTAGAGCAGTCAGAACATTCAGACCAGTTAAATATTGATGACTTTGTTAACAGTGGCGGGGAAAGATGTGATTTCTGAATGAAGGGACAGAGCCGGTCACATCTGATTCACTGTGAGCCGTGACATGTTGCTCCAGCATCCGACCCTATCCTCCTGCCTCCTGGGGGCATTTTGGGTAATTGCTTTCTCAAATGCAATCTACAGATTGTCCTCCCCCCACCCATCCTTTCCTAAATTCTAAGTAATTTCTCCTGACCCACAACTGAATTCAGAAGTGTGTGCTATAGGCTAATATAACAGGATTTTGTACGCATCAAAGCAACCGTGCTTTAAGCCAGTGCTGTGCTATCCACAATAATTTTTAATCTTGCCTCATCCTTTTGGTCGTTTCCTAGACTTTCCCCAAACAGCTAAACCGTTTACTCCACTGTCACGGCTGCAGGCAACTAAGAGGAAAAGATAAAGTCACATAACCAATATCGTGAGACATACAGGCAACTATTTTACAAAAAATAAATCAAACAATCATGCACAACATTTAAAATAAGAAAGATTTCAATGTGTTAAAAAGTAATACCTAAACAGGCTTGAACTAAACATTAGTGTTGCCATGCCAGCTTATCAGAGGCACAATGTTTTGATCTTTTTCTCTCCTTGCGGATCTCAGGAATGAAACAAATTCTCTCTGTCTCTCTCTATCTCTCTAGGCTGCTCCGGCCTGTTGATCCATTCAGATTGTAATGCGTTCCTCATCGCTGCCCTGGCATCCACATATCACCTGCCAGATCACAGGACAAATGAAACTATTTTCTGCTGTTTCGGAATGACAATTAGGCTGACTCAGTGGTGTTTCGGCCAAGCAGAGCTGGAGGAGGTCATGGTAAGTGTTAAGTTGCTGCTAGGTAACTGACTTATTTTATATTGCAAAGATAAACTTAATTAACTTAGGCAAGAAAGGATGATGCTTTCTCTCATATGGAAGCATCATGTTGTAATCTTTGAACAGTATTTCAGATTCACAGGTGTTATGTTAAATAGAGGGCATTTATGCATTACAAAATATCTTATAAGAAAACGTTTTGAGTGCTCTTCAGAATTTCCTCAAGTAATACAGTATACTGCTGCATGCTGTGTTTTGCCATGCAGCTGGAGCACAACAAACCCTGAAACAACAGCAAACACAGAATTATAGTCAGATCCAAAAGCAGATTTTGTGACCTAATTTATCCAGAAGCATTATAAAAGCAAGTATGGCAAGTAGGGATGCACCAGTAGAGACACAGATAGATGCTGACTGTATTCATTTAATCTAATTTACTAATGAAGACAATACAAATATAAAGATATGGTGATATCATGTAAAGTATATTTTGCAACACCAGATTGAGGATACAATCAGCAGAATAGATACAATAGACTGTGTATGTGTGAATGATTGTTTATGCACTGATATACAGATAAAAGGTGTATGATTGTAAGTGTATTCAGGCATATATGACAAGTGGATCTGTTCAGTACTTAAGGTGAGTGGAAGTTTGCTGACGAACATGCTACTTTTAGCATTTAAGAATTGAAAAATCCCATGAGGACCCTGTACTTAAACATGCTGTTTCCAATAAAGAGCACACTCCCCAAGGAAGCAGGTTGAGCGCCTTGTTGATTGGTTAAATAGCGGCAGTCCACTCTTACTTAAGAGTCTGAAGAGAAACTGTCCTTGATTCAATATATTGATCATCTTAAGTAGTGAATCAAGGAAAGAACAAATTAGAAGAAGGACAAAGATGGTGCATTTTTTTACACTGATTTATTTTGCACAAACGGGCATAACAACGGGGAGTACAGGGACACACATTGAAAGGACTTGGAGTCAGTAACGGTTGCTGAGCTTTAATCACTTAAATCCCTGCCATCACTCTGACTCTAATCTTCCATGCGAATAAAGAAGCCTACAGTATAAGAAAGCAGCAGTCCTTCCTCTTGCATTGGAGCAATTGCTTTGCCTCTTTTCCCAGACCATGTAACTTACTAATGATGTCTATTTGTTGCTTGGAGAATTCCAACTCCAGCTCATTATACCATATGCCTGGGGAAGGAAAACTCTTTATACAGACTCAAGATAGAGGTAATTGTCCTTGTGACCTCACTGTATTTAATGCAACGCAAAGATTTGATATAATGGCTCATATGTTCAGGATTTGTTCAGTGTACTGTACTGTTCAAAGGGCTTATTAGTGCGGGAAAGAAGACCATTTAAAAGCTGCAGGCTCAGCAGGTGAATACTCAACATTCTTCTGGCACTTTTAACTTTTACTAAATGATCTAATTTAACGCAACCACGTCTGATTTAACAGCTCAGGTTTGTGAGTTTATACAATTACTGGACAAAATTGGTCAAATATTTATGTGTTGCATGCCCCAGCCTCATGGAGCTACAGTATGCTGTCAATAACTGAATGTAGTGTACAGTAAATAACAACACAATAGCAACCTGGATTTGTGCATTGTTGAAATCAATGGTTCTTACTATCAGCACTAGGCGGGGAATTGGTAAGTGCTTTTATTTCTAGCAATCACACAGGCTTGTAGCCAATTATTAGTAGAGCAGAAGTGCTGCTCTGATGATTGCCTGAGGCGGAAAATAGTCACTGTAAAGCCAACAATCCATATCTCTAATCAGTGCAACATCAGACCTTCTGATCCACAAGTATTTTATTTAAGGAAAAAAGAAAGTTTGATTGAGTGTTTATGAAATTTGTCTCTTCAACCTATTAAGCCCTTCAATGTATGTCCAAATAAAAAAATGATCACACTTACAGTAAGTCTTATGCCCCCATAGTAACTCTGACCTTGAAGAAAAAAATGAATGTGAAAGGAATAATAACACAGCTCTGGAGCAAAATAAATTATTCAACTGTGAAATATCTTTATTTATGCAATAAAGATGGACTTAGTCCAATAACCACAATAACATATTGGTCACCAGGGGATCTGTACAAAACAATACACATTGGTCAAAAGGCCAGTGTCTAATACTATTGAGACTAAACATAAGACCACAAAAAATATATATCACTTTTTTTTAAAGAGGCTGCAACCCAATGTTAGTCAAATAAAAGTTTATACTACTTTATAAGTTATACTTATAGTTAACAAATGGCAAATTATGTCAATACCTAATAGTTAATTAGTTAATGGTAAATACTAATTGAAAACATCTATCAGTACTAGAGGTTTGTTATATTTAATTGAAGACAATAATTGTGTGACGGTTAAATCTCTCAATAAATACAATATTCTTTACCTTGTACTATATTTTCTTTTTTTCTTTGATATTAGGGTTATTTTGTTAAGATGAAACTGGAATGTATATGATTTCCATAATTCCCACTGAATAAGTGAATTTGTAAGGCAAAGGTGAGAGGTAAAGTCACAATATTAAATAACAATATAATTGTTATTATTGTTATTAATGTTATTATCAATAATTCAAGTACTGATGTGCATTTACTCAACATTCGGTGGTAGGATTTATGGTAAAGACCATTTATACCAAAGATCACAATTGATTGCCATTAGTTAACAATATCCAATAATAAACATGCAGAGAGCAATCATCAATTTAACCATTAGATTATCATTTGCCATTTGCTAAGATTGTTGTACCAAAATGCTGCCCACTCCTCAATGGTATCGTCATGGCAGTAAAATATCAATATGTGTTATAACGACTTTGAAGTTGCTATAACAATTGTGAAAACATTAGGGGAAATGATCATATTGATGCTTTTATAACAATGTTTCATTATTAACAATCTTATTCCCAAACAAGAGAAAGTTAAGTATTTCAGTATTGTTTCTATAATATTATATAATTACCAAGTAATGCACTGAAATTACAGGGGTGGCACTAAGGGAAGATAGACATACCTATTAGTAATCAAACAGCTAATTACCGGACCACCTATGGTGTACAGGCGGTGAAATAAAAAGGCAAGACAGCTCTCTGCTGGCTGGCACGTTCCACTTCGCTGTGCAGGTTTGCAGTTAAATACACCTGAAAAACTCATAAGCCTTTTCCCCTTTCATAGCAGGTATAACAACCTTGACTAAGTAATCCTCTCACACCAAATCTATAAAACCCGCTCAGTCCTGAAAAGAACACAAAAGGAATGTTAACACTGGCCTCTTTATGTCCTCTGGTTCTGCAGAGACGTGTGCTGTATGTGTCATAGTAGCTGTCTTTATGTTCACAGTAAATACAACTCTACAACAATTACCTAGACACTCGTACACACACATACAGTACTGTTGACCTTGTCTAAAACATGTCGAAGTAAATAATCAACTCAATGTAATGCACTTTGTCATGACGTAACAGTGAAATGTAATGCTTTGGTCAAAGACATTAAATCATTTTAAATCTCTACACAACATCAAATACAATTTAAGGCAAAAAATCAAGAGTAAAGTAAAAAAAAAGTTCAAAAACATACATTGAAAATATTTCTATTTACAATATTTCCTCATAGAAAAATATGTTTGAATTGCACAGAGTTTTTAACAGGACCACAGTAAGACTCATTTCAACCCCCACTAGAAAGCATCAGATATCATCACAAATATATTGGTTCCACTGCAGATGCAGTAAATGGATGCAGAGCCATCCTTGTTGAACTTCGACTGGCATGGGCCGAATTGTACAATGTCCCACAAGCTATTGCAATTACAAACCAGCTAAACTACTGTTGTTAATAATGATATTACACTGCTATTAACAAGTTCTGATCACTTTTTACATCCATCAATCTGTAAACATGTTTTGGTCAAACCAACACTGTCCTACAAACTATCTGAGTTAAATGTTCTATTAGTTATATTAACCAACAGTGCACAATTTGCAGGTAAAACAAATACGATAAAATACAAATACAACTCTTTGTTTTGAAGCAATTACCACAGCTAAATTGAGAAACCACTTCAATAGTGCAAATGTGACCTCAGCGGCTGAAGACCCGATCAGAGGTGGGTGTTGAAATGCCTGTTCTGCCAGACTGGTCAAGGGGACGGTAGGGGGTAGTAAGCCGGCCCCAACGCGAGGGAGAAATCTAACAGTGGGAGTGAAATAGAGGCAGAGGTCAGATCTTTAGGGCTCCAAATCGCAGAGCTGGTGTGCAGCTTGAACCTAAATGTCAGTGTCCAGAGGCCCACACAGGGAGAACAGGTGTCGAGTATTTACATCAGTGCAGGACCGGAGCCAGTCATCATGAAGTCCTGTCGGCACAGCAATCCCATAATCTGTTGCAAAGTCTCAACAGGTTCAGAGTCATCACCGTCTTCACAGATTTCATCCTCTGAAGCTTGTGTGTGTGTGAATGAATACGAGGTACATTATTTTGATTTGACAATGAGACACATTTTGAGCTCCACACAGACATTTGCAAAACATCCTTGCTGTCCCCTGGCAACTGCTCACGCACAAACATTGAGTGACAATCCACCGAGTGTAGAGGGCCAAGCGTGAGCTGAGCTGCAAGCAATGCCAGCAGAGGATCCAATGTACATGTACAACAGGTAGAGGTGACACTGTCAAATAATATAGGACATATTAGTTAAGTCTCATGTTCTGTACGATCAAATCATTTTGGTTAGCTTTTGCGTGTTCTGTATTAGTATATTGTTCCGACAGGCTGTCACAGTGACTTGGCTTTAATATTCATAATTGCTCTTACAATATGTCCAACTCTAGTAATAGTCAATTTCAAGCATGGGAGAAAATTGCATTGTAGCTCATCAGAACTTGGTTTATCATAATCATGGGCGGATCTACATTCTGTCCTAGAGAGATGCTTATAATAGCATTCGTTTACACAGGTTGCCAGAAAAAGGGCTCATTGTTACTTTTCTGCACTGCTTCCTTCATTAATGATTTCTGTTTTCCTTTTTTATGTTGCGCTCTTAGACCCTACCTTGGTAATAAAATGCTCAGTGACTTAATGTGTAAAGACTTATATATAAGGTACATCAAAGAACATTATCTAATGAAGGTGGGCATTTATTGACTTGGTCAGGAGTCAAGACTAGCAAGCAAATCAATCTGTGTTTGCATCAAAGCTACGCGGAGCATCACGCTCTTAGCAGGCTTAACAGATGATGCAGTAGAGTAAAACGTGAGAGGCTGCAAATGTTCAATAAAATAAGAGGTCTTGTTATTCTCTAATGGAAAACAATCAACCACACATTTACATTGCTTACAGGCACTATTAGAATTGTGTTCATTCTGCAAATTTCAATTTGATTATGTGACACATCTTACTGTGCAAATCCAGAAGGGCAAGAAACAGGTGATCACAGGTTGTAAACAAGCAAGCGCAACTAAAATGGAAGTATGTATGCATTTGGTTATGCTATAGTGCAAAGGAATTCATTTTGTAAAGAAGGGTGGCTAAAATAACAAAAATAAGAAAGGTTGTTGGAACCTGTAAATATTCTTTAAATCTTCCATATTTAAACACAAGATCTCACCTTGGCCCAGGAAACTATGACCTCTTTGCTCTCCTCCTTGTCTACCCTCTCTTTTTTGACGTCAGGGAGTCGTGTCTCCACGATGTATGGAGGGCCGTCCCCATGGGCCAAGTCCTCCTCCACCTCCCCCTCCTCCCCCGTGGTCCTTATCTGACTCCGGCTGGCTCTGAGCACGCTCAGGCTTGGGGTTGGGGGTGCAGGGGGGGTCTGGCTGTTGCACCGACATGGTCCTCCGCAGGTGGGTGCGCTTACACAGGAAGTCAGGCTTCGCTGAGAGACCAAATGAGCCCTTCCTCAGGACCATTCGAACTGAAGGGGATTTCTTGGGTCTGGCTCTGTGCCCAAACTGAAGCGTGGACAGGTGCGCTGCATAGCCCTCGCTCAGGAACTGCATATACCACCAATCAAAAAGGGTTAGAAAACCAGAAGGAGAGATTCAAGTAAATGAGATAGACCAAGAGGAAAACTAAAGACTTTCAAATGAAATAAGAAGAAACACAACACAACTCTGTAAAAAATGAATATGATAAAAGGAAAATGAAATATAAATGTACATACCTGGCACTGATTTTGGTACTTCTTTGAAGGTCTGCCAACAATATAAATTTGTGAGGGAACGAGGCCAAGCATGTTGTAAACAGTGATGTCCTTCATGGAGCCGTAAGCAGAGTTGATCTTAATGTGACACTGGTGACAGAAGGAATTATCAGTCAGAGATGTGTATGGCATTTCGAAATAGCACGACCCAGGGCTACAGCCCTGTTGGCTTGCAAAAGAGTGATGTGAACAGACAGAAATCAAAATCAATTTAGGGCAGAGAACTAAATGTTTGACATGCTTTGTAAGAAAGGTGACGTGCTCAGAACAACGGTTTGTGAACAGTACCTCCTGTACGAGGTTCTTGAGGAAGATGGTCTTTTGCCGCAGGGGATCATGAACCAGGCCTTCAGAAAAGAAGATCATGCCATGGGGAAAATTGTGCTGAGAGAGCCAAGATACCACACGCTGCTTCTGCATATCAGGACGGCCTGTGATGTAGATGATCAGATATCCCAGGTCCTGCCAATGCCTGCATGTGAATACATAACATCAAACAATTCAAAGCCTTTACATTTGATCGGCTGTTGCACTATAACAAGAACCACAGGCTTTAATGCAGTAATCGCTGGCATACACATTCACTTCTGAAAGCATCTCTTTCTGAACCTTTTTGTCAATCTCTGAAGATGTGAATGTCATGTGTACGCACGCGCACGCACGCACACACACACACACACACACACACACACACACACACACACACACACACACACACACACACACACACACACACAGGCTGTTGCTAGTTACCTGACGACATCCACAGCTCCGGGGCGGACCTTGGGGTCACTGCCCATGATTGACACACTAGCAGCAAAAGAGCCATCGATGCTAAAGACCACACACTCCATGCCCCGTGGCAACACAGTCAGGTAGGCTTCTGCACTCGTTTGATCGCCCCTTTGGTATAGAAAAAGAAAGAGTGAATGCATTTACTACACATTGTTGTAACTCCCTTCCTGGCCTTGGCATCTTCACTCTATCTGGACAAATACGGGATAATTCAAAAATGCTCTCCTCCATGCTTTGTATGATATGCTTACTTGACAACCATTTTTATTGGATACACTCCTAGGCCCAGCTTCTTGCTCTTGGGTACGGTATATGTGATTCTGCCGCTGCTGTTGGTGACGTCCGTGTCAAAGTGCACCCAGCGACTAGACTGAGGTTGTGTCATTAGCAGGATGTCCACCTAACAGGGCAGGATGAGTCAAGAGGTTGGAGATTAACAAACATTTATACCAATAGATACGTATATCTGGAGTAACCAATCATGTTGCTGAGTTTCACCTTTTCTCCGGTCAGAGTGACCATGTCCAAGGGGCCGTACATGAAGCGGCCAACCAGCGTTTGGGGCCCATCCTCGGTCGCAATGACGTCATTCACCCTGTGGTTGGCAGTGACGTTCTTAAGGAAATAAAAAGAAGGAGCACAAAACACAATTCCGTTAGGAAACAGACATAAGGACAAAGACATTATTGACTGACTGGATTCTGAGTTTTAGACATTTTTTTCAACATTATGATCCCCAAGTTCAAAGATTAACATCCATTAACACAAATCAAAAAAACATCTTGGTGAGTAATCTATTGACAATAGGTTGGAGATTATTCAAAAATCAATCCGCAATCAACCAGCAAATGTTTGGCAATCAATCACTATAACACGTGGCGTGTGTTTTATAGTGTTTCCTCTGAAAATACACGCAACCAAATGCCTCTGAGATAGGGCCTTCCAAACAAGTGCTCTATAAAGCTTCCTTGTTTTGTTCTTTTCTCCATATTGCACTATTTGGTGAGCTATTTCATAAACCAGCAGAGTAATCTTCTATGTGTCTTGATGCTGAAAAGGTTGCATTTTAATAACATATTAAAGGCCCACTAATGTTTAATTATCTCTGTTGTTGGCCATCATGGCGGAAATGTAATTTTCTCCCTGCGTCTTCTCTGCTGTTTACTTTGTCTGTTTCTTTATCCCTGAGATTATTGCTTGACACACATGCTCTTTATCAACACACCGCTTTTTACAAGTAGGTAGGCAACTTAAAATGTGTTTTTTGCCCTGTGGACAGTGTGATACAAGATAAACAAATGAACGCCATCTATATTTAGTGCAGGGATTTTTTATTGGAGTAGAGGCTGAGATGATATTCTGTTGACTTGAAAATGCACTGCAGTTTATTGACAGCACTCGCTAAAAACCTAATTGAGCATTTTCCAATGAAGATATGCTGATGAGATCAAACATGTTGTGCTTGTATTTGACTGTTTCACCACATTGGCTAATGATAATTGATTGAATGGATGTGACATCGACCAAGGAAGTTAAACATTTCCAGCTGTTACCAGCATGAGGTTCTACTTACTGATTCACTGATAGCTAGCACGCATATTAAGCAAACCATATATGCACATACCTGGACACACAAACAAAATACAAAAAGAATCACAGCTACTGTGTGACGTGAGGAGTCCTTACAGTTTTCCCTGACACGATTCACTCCGTGTGGTCATACAGGAAATCTACACGCGCCTCAGTATTACCATCCACTCACAAACAGGGTAAGAAGCAACATCCAACCTAGTGGTCCCTCTGCAGCTGTGACAAACTCCTTCTTGCCAAGTCAAGGAAGATCACAAAGAGAAGCCAAGTCTCATTGAATAGTATCACTCTGAATGAGATGGGCAGGCTGTGCCCAGATTGAATCAGCACGCAACTTCTCTCATGTTCCACATTCTGAATCAAATAGAGTAAAAGGCAACTTGTTCAGAGCTGCTTTTCTTTGAGCTCTTACATAAGAAACATGTCACTGCCAAGATGACACTGAGAAAGACCTTCACAGACTCAGATACAGAAATGTTTCCATGTCAATCTGGCAATATCATTCTAATAATAGAAATATGAAAAGCAAGCAGTCACTTGTCTTTTGAAGAAGGCAGATAAAATGAAAACTCTTTGAAGTGTTATGAGATCGTGATTGTTCCTCTCTGCAGGACCCAGAAGCATCAAGTATTTGTGTGCATCTGCATGCTTCAAGGTGAAAGATTGGGAGTTTTAAAATAAATTCAGATCACAGACCACTCACACAGTCCATAATACTACAACCTCGGCAGTGAGAGAGAACTCTATTTTTGATATAAATGAATGCAAGGCAGTTGCAGCAGAAGAACAGTAGCTGCTGTTCGGCTCTGAGTGGTGGGTGTGATTCTTAGAACGAGTCACCAAAGGGAAAAAAATGTGTCCGGCTGTGTAAAGTGCTTTGTTAATTATTTATGAATTCTTCCACGTAAAGTTTTAATATGAGCTTTTAAAAAATAAATGAGCAGCCATAAATGTCATATTTCTGTTAGCAGAGAAAACTGGGTCAAAAGTGTATTCATAAAGATCAAAAAGCAAAATAATTAATTACCCTTAGTTTGACATGTGTCCTCCTTCTGAGCCATTTTTCTCGTGGGCTGGAGGGAGAGAATGAAGTGGAGCCCAAACTGTCCGCTTCCTGGGTCTTCAAGGAGTCACATCGCATGAGCTGTCAATAAACACATGCGTATATAAGAGCAGCGGGGATAGAAGACATATTCATATTTGTATTTTTACCAGACAGCAAGGCCCTGTAACTGCTAGAATCCACTTCAAGACACTGGTACTTGCGTACCATGCTGCGAATGGATCTGGCCCTTCCTACATCCAGGACATGGTTAAACTGTACACCCCAGCACGTGCACTTCGCTCTGCATCAGCCAAACAGCTCGCTGCACCCACACTGCGAGTGGGACCCAAGTTCCCATCAGCAAAAACACGTGGGTTTGCTATCCTGGCTCCAAAATGGTGGAATGAGCTCCCCATTGACATCAGGACAGCAGAAAGCTTAAAACTCATCTCTTTCGACTCCACTTCGAGCGATAGAATTACTAACAAAGCACTTATATACTAATAAAGGACTGGCTTATCTAAAGCCAGTTGAGTAGCACTTGAAATGTTTTAGCTCTATGAAACCTGATGTACTTATATGATTCTGTTTTCTTCAAGTTTGTATTTTGTTGGTCGAACGCACTTACAGTATTGTAAGTCGCTTTGGATAAAAGCCTCAGCTAAATGCAATGTAATGCAAACTTTTGGATAGAAAATATGTTACTCAAGGGGGTGTAAAAAAGTAACAACATCAAAATAGACATCAGTACTGATAGTTGAAGTTCTCATTTTGCAGAATAATGTATATTAATGATTATAATTATTAATTAATTAAGGTGTTGATCAGTTTAATTTTAAAGCTTGTGAAAGTATTTACATTGCATAATCTTTTATGAATTATCTGAATCTGACAAGTAATGTATGGTGTTACATAAATGTGGTTAAGCAAAAGTGTACAATATCTGCATCTCAGATGTGTTACAATTCAACTCAAGCAAACTACAAGTATCTACACATTTTACTTTAGTTTACTACTGGAGGGATATATTTAGTTATTTCTCAACTGAAGAATAACCGTTCACACATCAAATCACATCGTTCAGTTCAGCACACAGATCAGTTTTCTTTCCAATAGTAATAACCCATTCTCATGTCAGTACCTTTTCCGTAAGATTTATAACATTGACTTTTTACCAAATGAAGTCTTAGTACAAAACCTGGAATTATGTTTCGGATCATCAATCACATCAAATGGGAACCTTTTATGTCAAGAGCAACACTGGCACAGATGAAGGACTGAAGGGGGGATTTGGAGTACTTGAATAAAATGACTCTTCTTGAACGAAGCCATGCATATCACTCCCCACTCTTAGACATAGGGAGGATATTTGTTTCATATCATTGGAAGACATTCTCTCACATAGTGAGTTTGAACTTTCAGAACAGTACATCATTTAGCTTCAACAAATGATGTTCCATGCAGCCCTTAAACTCCAACATGATTATTTAATATGAAGCAGCATCAAGTGGAGCTGCCAACCGCTGAACCAAAATAATGATCTGGCTTTATTAGCTTCCTAATGGCGACAATAACGCTTATTTTTTCTAAGTGTTTTTTATTCCTGTCACTAGTCTCACAAAGACACTCTGCTAGAGCAGATATTGCTCCTCTGTTTTCATATAATCGAGATCAAAGCCAACGTTCTAAAGGGCTGTTATTAGACATGATGTGATACACCGGTCTTATTTATTCATTATTTTTGGGCTGCTCCATGTTAGTTTCTGAGGATAATGGCAGCTGGTGGATGTAACACTATAACTACTCAGCTGAGACAACATGTGCATACCTTTAAAATACTAACCAGCCATAGAAGAGTTGGAACTTCTTAACCTCTGAATTTTGCTAATTCTAGTCATGCCAGTATACATAAACCAGCATAAACCTCCTAATCCTGGTAAGATTTGTTCAGATTTCAGTCCTAAAATCAAACATTTATGAAAAAAAATAGCTCCCTCTGCTATGGGGCTCAGCTGTGAAGTGTGAGATGAATCCTAAACATCTTTGCACTAGATAAAGTATGCAGACCTCTTGATAATGATCCTTTCCTTTCATTTTGCAGACCACTGCACAATCCTCACGATCTTTAACATGATTTATCTAGGCTAAAATGGGCGAGGTAAAATGGGCATTTATCATGAAGTGTGTTCTTTACTGTAGATACACATTTCATGACTCATGGAAAGTAGCTCAACTTATGGTGTTCTTTCTTCAAACAGAATTTACACATTAATTGTTAAATTGTTATGGTACATTTCTTTATATATTGTGTATTTTGTAGGTTTGTTGATAAAATGACCGACTCGTGGCAAGACTTTTAGTTAATATATATGTGGTTTGTTATCTGTACGGAAGGAGATGATGATGTAATGACATCAGGACCTGATTACCTGCTGCTCTCATTTTGCTTTAACATTGTCATGAAAGTAAAAAAAACTAAAAACCTGAGGATGCGGACTTACACTTAAAACATTTTGCAAATTAAATACTGAGACAATCATTTTTCTCAATCTGTGAGAAACCAATAGCTGTCAACTAGGTTTTCCCACCTGCCGAAGAACAAAGGCTGCTACGTCAGTGGACTCCCAGTAGGAGGCATGAAAAAGGTGAGGCAGAGCCACCGTTGGGAAGGCAGTCAGCACATCCGGGCAGTACAGAGCATAATCCAGTCTCTTGGAGCCCCACCAGCTACTGGAAACTGAGACACACACACAAAAACACACAAACACAAACATGTGAAAATATGAGGTCAACTTAAGAGCTGTGGAACCTCATGAACCTGAATAAATGAGACAAGCCAGTGAAGCTTCTTCTATTTCCCTCCCACTCACTGTTAGTGATGGTGTTTCCCAGCTGGCCCATGAAGCAAATCGACATTTCACTTTCCACACTGGTCACGCTAGCTCTACGACCTCCCTCTTCTACTCCTCCTTCAGGCTTTGTCTCAGAGGACGTCTGTGAAACTGGACCTCCAGGAGTTTTTCCACCTTCCAAAAACACACTTGGATTGCTTTGGATACTCTCCGCTAGGGAGGATGAGAAGAGGGGAGAAAAGGACAAACAGAAAGGAGGATAAGGAAATGCTTTGATCATATAACAATTGACTGGCTTCAAAACGGGTCTTTAAATCAATGCTGTTGTTTTGCCTAATAATATGCTATGTATTGACTTGCTTTGTTCTTTATCAGGAAAAAAAAAAAAAAGCACCATCAATGATGATCAAAACTGCTCCCACTCTTCATGGGGTTGAATCCAATTGTATTGACTGCAGCGGTCCTGAAAAACATGTTGCTCTTGGCTTTTGTTGACAAGTAGAATAATTTATCTGTAGAGGTTCCTCTCTCCCAGTGACGTCCCGACACACCTCCAGCCTATTTGCTTTGCGCTAACACTGTAGGAAAATTAAACATTTCCCGTGAGACCTGGTTTCATCAGACATCATGGAAAACCATGTTAGATGCATAGCCTAGAATCACATAATTACAAATTAATGTATGTTTCGGTATTGCATTTTTGTATACATATATCATAATCATTATTATTCTCCTTTTGAAATGTCTACTTGTGTTTATTGTGGTTTTTTCTTGTATGTATATCTTTAAGTTATGTGTCATGATGTCCCTCTCTTTCTTTGAGAACACTCAAACTGTTTCCCTCTTACTATGAAACTCAGTGTTTCTTCTAGCCAGACTCTGGAGAGTACTCATTATCCTGTTACCAAGACCTTGTTGTTGCTGTGGATGTTGACTCATGTCTGAATGAGCCAGTCTATTCCACCGCTGTGTTGCACAGTGTGCCACAACTACTAAAAAGCAATGTAATTTATATGTTTGTATGTGTGTCACAAGCAAACCAAGACTCAATTTGCCGGTGATCCCACTTCAGCAACATGTCATTTACCCGCTGCCATTTACTGTAATCCACTGGGATGTCTTCTGATGTGACCGAGTGGATGTAAGGTGGGTACAGAGATCTGGAACAGGCACAGGCTAGGGAGAGCCAAGATGAAATAAGATCAAGTGTGCCTGAAAATGTTTACCTGAAAAACTGGGATTAAGAGGATTGTGCTGCACCATATTCTTTTAGTTTTCTCTGATACTTTTGTGAGTTTGCATGACTTCCACTCTCACTTACACAGACATTAGCATTACAGACTGTGGCTCCACTCTTGGCTGCTTTCAATATTTGTAAATGGGAATGAGTTTGGAGGTGCATGTATCCAGTTATCACCCAGAATAGTCAGTTTTGCTTCATGAAGCTGCCAGTAATTGGCAGAATAACCATTTATCCGCATCCTTCTGGATAGGTTATAAATAAACGTTCAGATGCTGCCACATGTTGCATGTGCTGTCTTTGTGAAGGATCGGCAACCACCGCTGAATACAGATTAGGAGCCAACCCCTCAGACGAGGGGGTGCATCAGGTGTGGTTAATAAATATGGGCTGTGCAGATGATGAAGGTTATGGAATCTGACACACACTGCGATCGATTCAGTGATTCTAGATAGGATGTTTTTCGTCTAATGGGCCAGCTGTTCAGGGGTAGAAAGTATTTTGTTGGTTAGGGAAATAGTGGGTTTTTCATTAAATAAAGTCAACATATTTATCTTGTAGTTTTTTTTTTATGAATTCCCTCAAAAATATAAGGAAAGGCCTGTATCATTTATTTTCCTCTAGAAGTCAAAACCTCAAATCAATTGTATTCAATCACAGTATGGACATGAATTACTCTTTGTTCTTTATGCTTTTAATTTATTTTGACTTATCAAGGAAAAACTGAGTTGCTGGCACTGAAGTACAAAAGGTATTTCAGAATTATTTGTGATATTGGTCACTCCAAGAACGCAGAGCCTTTACTGGTAGGGCTCCTGGATTATAGAAGGACCTGCCTGAGGAGATCAGGGCTGCAAACTCGCTGCTCTTTTAAATTCCTCTGTGTTTTCATGTTTATTCATTTATGCTAATTATGTTTTATTACTACTGTTTGTTTTACTCTCTGTTTTTAAGTGGCTCATTTTTAGGTTATTTCATTCCTTGTGTGTATTTAAATGCATTCTGTTTTTCTGTAAAGTATTTTGTAACTCTATTAGAAAGGAGCAATACAAATCAAGTTCATTCATTATATCATTATCATTATTATTGCAAAGACAGTTCAAAGCATGCTCACAATCCTTCATCATACACTATCATTAGCACTATGCTGGGCTGGCCGATATAAAGAAAATGTAATATTTACTTTTTATATAGATCTAATAAAGAAATACCAGCAGGGAAAAACCACTTTACTGTAAAACCAGGACTTTAAAACCAGGAAAATATACTTATGGGATAATATGATATTAAATACCTAAGAAGATATTTAGTCTCACATTAAAATATTGATACATGATTAATATATTTCTCAGGCCAGCCCTAATGATGAATAATCAATAATATCAGAAAAGAAAACTAAGAAAACACGAAAAACAATATCACAATTTACATGATTTAGAGTTTTCTATATTAGTGGTTTCATCCTGGAAATAGAGGTAAAAAAAACTAAACACACTTATTGCCACTAACAGCACACAAACAGTACAATGTGAATCCCAGACTATACTCTCAGTAAAACACAACACACACACACACACACACACACACACACACACACACACACACACACACACACACACCACACACACACACACACACACACACACACACACATCTGTTATTAATAATAAGCCTTGCTTTATATCTCTTAGAGGGACATAATGCTTTTTCAGTTTCTGGATGCTTTTCCCAGCACAATGAGCAGCGAGGGAGAAAAGGTTCTGACAGAGAGATAGAGGAAGGAAGAGGAAGAGGGAGAGAGAAAGGACAGATAGGTCCAATGACTGAACAAACATGCAATTTCAAAAGTTATGCTGGTGAGAGAGAATAAGGGGCATCAATAAATTGCTAGCAGGAAAATGGTGACAGAGATAGACACAAAAGCCATTAATCAGGGAAAGCAGGAGCTTGGAGTTGTGTTTGTGAATCAGAGAATATTTAAAATACCATAGAAAACGGTTGTACAGACACAAAAGGTCTATGAAATGTCCATGATGAAAACCTAAAGATTGTAATTAAAGGGGAAAGGGAAGCAGCTGATGACGGTGGTAAGAGGGACAATTAGAGAAAGCACAATGTAAAAGAGGATGATTGCACTGTGGCCTTGAAACGTCTTTGTTACTAAAAGAGACAGAACCACACTTTTGACTCAGTTAGGAAATGCCGAGCAAATCATACACCTCCATCTTAACATGAAAGCACTGTTAGCCACACGATTAATACTGATAAAAATGACAATAACTTAATGTACATTTTCTGTCTTTTACCATCATGTTTCCCATTGGACCAGAGCTGGAAATCAATAGGAAGAGGACTCGTTTTCTCCCTATTAGCAGCATTCATCATAATAAAAGCTCCACCGTTGACAGGTGTTGATATCAGCCTCGTACCCACAGGGGCCTGTTTTCATTGGCTTTCCAGACCTTTCACAACAACTAATTACTATATTACAGTGCAGGAAATGGGTGATGTGTGCCCCTTTTTCTTCTGCGTGAGCCAGCTCGTTGCACTGTATTTCTGCAGTGTCCGTGTGCATCTGTCTTTAGTTTTTAATTAAACACAGAACTTGACAGCATCCACGCCCGATCAATGGAACAGGGCTCCAGACCCATAATTAAAACCTGGTGTAGCTGCAAGCCGACGCTGTGTGTCTGCCTTTACACTCCATCACCTTTACTGCAGTATTGGCTCTTAAAGGCGTCAAGTATCCTGCTTAGTGACTGTCTGAGAGTTATATCAAATTAACAGATAATCTACTTTATATGGGTCATTTAATATTATGTGTCAGAAACACAGATTACTCAGCAAATACATTTAATTTGTGAAGATTAGTACAATGATTTTGGGTGTGACTGATTTGAAATGGAACAATTACATTGCTGGCTTCTTCTGTCTGTAAATGTAGCTGTGTTTGGGCTCAAAACATAGGTTTTCAAATAGTTATACATATTTCTATAGCCACAAAGTCTTATTGTTTTAAATAAGCAAACTGTTAGTTAAAGCGATCAGTTCTTGCCCTACTTTTCTCTCAGTGAGGAAGGTTGACTGAGGCGCGGGGGAACCAGGCGATGCGTCTCTACTGATCTATAGAGCTGGTCTCTAAGTCCCAAAAGTGGGTTAAAACATGCTTCAATAAATCACAGGCTCATTAAGTCCCCATCTCTGCAACCAGGCCCTCCAGTCAGATTACAGATTAGTATGGCATATACTGTGCTGGATCATCTAAGAGATGTGGCAAGGGTAAAGGTACTGCAAACCAAGAAGAAGAAGTATAATGACTTCTCTCTTCAGCCCGTTGGGGCAGGATTTAGCTCTGCCTTTGCAGGGCAACTCACACAGATGGGATATATGCTTCGTTTGCACATCTGCGCCTTTGATAATTCTCATTACTAAATCATGGAATCTTTAAACTGCTTTAATAGAATTCCTCAAATATTTCATGCAGCCTGGAAATTGAAAATCCACAAGGTTATTAATATGGCAATGCTATTATACCAGAAGATGGATTAACCAATGCAATATTCAAGAGAAGCTGCTCTCACTCAAGATTTCCAATGTCGAATCACACGTCCTACCTATGAGCATTGAGCGGCCGTCTCCTAGAGGGTAGCGCTGGTAGCGCGGCACAGCAAAGGGGGGCAGCTTGTGGAAGAGAGGCTGCAGCAGCGGTTCTAGTCTGGAGGCTGAGGGGTCCGAAGGGTAAAACAGGTTGAAAATCTGAGAGCAGGCTGGATGCAGCTGGCTCACTGTGGGTCAGAAAACACAAAGGAGAGGTAAAGCCATTAGGAGGTTTGTGTTGTAGCTGTGTCACATAAGAATTGTTTGATAAAGGTGGTTGGAAACAGGACAAGACAAACACAAAACCAAACTCCAGGTGAAAAATACTTTTATCGTTTATTTTATTGCTTTGAGAGCAACATAATCGTCAGTTAATTTTTTTTTTTGCATGTCTCTATTAGTGTTCCTTCTAACAGTTACCCTGTTTGTTGTAAACTAAATTGAGTAGAGCAGAAAAAAGATAAGGATATGTTCTTGTAGTGTAAATCGTGAAGGGTATTTTTTTTTAATTGAAAATCTGTTTAAACTGATCTTATCCGGAGACATTTATAATCATTTCCCAGTAAAAGACAATCCAGCTAAAGTATGTCACCTGACTGAGGTTGCATGTTATTGCAGTGTTTTTTCAGGTAAGTTCACATTAATAATAAGACAATAGAAGTGTGCAGAGATGTGGATGTGAAAAATTGCATTTTCTGATATAGAATGGGCTTGAGTCTCACCCTGGACGGTAGGCAGCACGGTGCGTCTCATGGCCAGCACCAGGCCCAAAGGGCAGCCCAGCAGGAAACAGTCTGCCACCTCAAAGTCGAATCGACCCGGATTCAACACCAGACTGCTGCCGCTGCCACCACACACCTCCACACTGTCCTTCATCAGGCTGGGGACACAAGGTGTAGAATGTTATCTGTATGTCGTCATGGCCTACCAGTCCAATTGTTTGCTAATTGAGCTCAGATGCCTCCTCTGACAGTCAGACGATATTCTTATTGGCTAAAGGTGAATTGTGTAGCATTACACCTAGTGATAGTTGGCTTGTCAGGATATAAGTATGTAACTGAGACTCCAATTACAAATTGATGCTGCAAGTATCCTTTGATAAGTATTTAGGAAGATGATAATAGATTGTTCATGTTATGATTAATAACAAACAATTAAATGCTTCAGGTCAGTAATAAAAGGAAAACACTGATTACTTTTATTTTCAAGCGGGGGTACTCTGTCAATTTAACTGTCATTATTGTGTATGCTGGAATTGGGAAGGCAAAAGTCTCAATGTTTACATAGATGAGTCAGTGATGCTTTTGCTTTGTTTTGAATCAATTGTAGGTAGGATAGTCTCAACACTCTGGGGTTCTTGTCAGTTCCGGGCCTTTATGACTCACAGCCTTGCAGCCGAGCCAGTCTCAGCCCAACGAGATCTGCCTGCTATCTAGAGAGCCAACATTTCCACATTAAGTCCTGCATGGGGAGAAAGGATTAGCCAACAGTCTCTAGCCATCTTTAAAAGCCAAATCAATAGTTCTTTGATTGCCTTCCGATTCCATTTTCTTTCCTCCGTGATGTGTCTGCTTCACTTCTTATTACCTTATTGCCACACCATTAAAACATATTTAGTCTTTTGGTCTGCCAAAATGTGTTTTTCTTCTGCTAATTATCCTCTCATGTATTCATTTCCTCAAAGAAATGTAAAGAAAGTACGAGTCGTACTGATCTTGACTTGAACTGACAGTGAGCATGCACAATACAAGTATGGGCAACTGCATGTTTTGTTCTTAATAGACTCAAGTCCCATGTTGCCATATTTAATTCATGACAGTTAGTAGTCTCTCTTAACAAGCTGACTTTTCATTCAGATAGACACATATTGCATTGCCTCACTATTATTGAGGTGGTTGTCGGTGGTTTTATGAGGGAAAATGGGCAACAGATGATGTGTATCGAAATGCCCCGCTGATGCCTACCTTTTAAAACTAAAACATTGCACATTTAACTCCTGATGGGCACTAGACTATCACAAAGCCTATTAGAAGCTCTAACTGCACATAATCCTCTTTTTGAGCATTTTAGACTAGGCATCTACATTTGGAGAACTTTGTCCGTTCTTCAACTTAGGAAGTTAGTTAGTATTTACCATCTGCTTACATATCAGTGGAATTAGCAAAAACACACATCCCTAACAAAGATAGATTGGTAAGTCAAATTCATTTGCGAATGATCTCACAGCCAATTCCCAGTCAGGGACCAAGCAGAGTAAGGGTGCATGTGGAAAGGAGAAACCAGAGATAGAGATCCATCCTAGAAGCCAGTCCTATAGGAGGGATAATGTGTGTAAGAGGAGAGGAGCTTTAATAAGTCCCCATGAGGAGAGGAGCTTTAATAAGTCCCCATGTTGACTGGGAATATCCACTGGGAGGTGCTGGGTAAAAGAGCTTATCCAGGAGTGGAGGTTACCCTCCACAAAGGAAGGCTTGTGATTAATCGCTATAACAAGAAGTGAAAGGGCAGAGGAAGTGCACAGTATGAACACAATGTGGTGTAACTGTGAATAGGTGTGATTCTCTCTTCAGTGCCTCTGTTACTGTGATGGTGTGAGCCTAGTGGAGCATTTGATTAGAAATGGGAACACTGGTTTCATGAACTGAGTAAACGTGGCAGTAAACCCCCTCCATCCACCCTAACTGAGCTGAATTCACCTCCAGCAGACTGTCTGGCAAATGCACAAACGGGCTATTTATAGTCCAGCACAGACAGGTAGGCCAGCTAGATACTATTGATAAAGAGCAGGAGTGAGACAGGGTGAAACACTGGAAATCTGGAGTTCATCTGAACCCCTGACATTTGTGATCAACAATGCTATTTGACAGAAATAGATGAAAGAATGTCAGCTATGTACGTCAGATGTTTTGTTTTTGCAAGGTTTGGAAGTTTGCGAGAACAACAATTTTTGGACCAAAATTGTAATATTAACTGACATAATTTTATTTATTTGGATTTTTTCCAAATGGTCCATCTTACAACAACCATTGCTGTGTTAAAGCAGTCTGATAAGGTTTAGGCATTCACCTTTATGAATGTGTGTGTACAAAAAAAATCACCTTATTTTGCCTTTGAATGAATTTGGAAATCCTGTTTATTTTGTACTGACAGAGATTTGATAGAGTTACTACATCTTTCTCTGACTTAATGTATAGTGTGTCTGTGCATGACTGTGAACTGAATGTGTACCACCACTAGTATAGAAAAAGGAGAAATATGATGACCGGAATATCTGTTACTATTGATTAATTGAAATAATATTTAACCTCAATGAGGCAAAAATAATTCATAAAAATCAAATGATAAATAAAATCTACCTGATTAAAAAACATAAACCATAATTATTTACCTCAAATTTATCAAGAAAAAAGAAACCGGCTGAATACCTCGTTGATCTTTGATGGTTGACACTTAACTCAATTTTTTCTATATATTGTGCTGTCAAACCTTGTGGTATTTTGTCCTACCTGGAGAAAAAGCTGTGCTGGCCTGTGGACGAGGTGTCTCCGTCATACGAGTCGCTCTGCTTGCGGCTGAGTGGCGGCCCGCTCTGGCTGTGCCCTTCGTTTGGGGCGGAGATATCGATGTTGCTCTTACTGAGCCTCTTGCTAGAACTCAGACCCAGGCTAGACTCTCCCAGTAGACCCGAATTATCCTGAGAGGAAGCAGGAGAGTATGTACATACTGTAAAGTGATAGTTGCATCAGGAAATTACACAAAAACACAGATGGGAACAGGAGCTTTTCTTTTAGATGTGAGAGGATTTGAATGGCAAAGGGGAGGAGAAGAGATGGATGGCAGAGAGAAAGTGGAGATCCTGCGATGCTTAGCAGGGTGAAAAAGGACATCAAATGACAAGCTGCAAAAATATTAAACTGAAGATGTTACATGCACACAATAGAAAAAACTACAAATGGTGCCCAGAAAACTTAAGATACATAAAATCAACCTCTGAAAACATTTGTGTGGAGGTTCCATGGTTCAAAATGGTGGACCAGAAGGTATGTGCCAATTACAGAGGCACCGCTACTTGCAGTAGCTTTATGGCACTGTTGTGATGCAGAGAGAGCTGAGCCAGAAGGGAGATCTCTCAATCTACTGATCCATCTTCATTCCTACCCTCACCTATGAAGGGTGGGTCATGACCGAAGGAACAAGATGCTGTACAAGCTAAAAGACTTGCAAAGCTCGTACAGGCCAGGGCATCACCATTATTATCATCATGTTATAGCTGTAATAGTGAGTTCCTACCTTCAGGCTCTCAGTGCTGTTGTTCTTGCTGCTGTTGTTGGGGCTTCCAGGTCTCTGGTGGTTGCTAAAGCACAAAGCATCGAAGCACAGCACACCTCCCACACAGTCACCCATTAGGCATACCTGTCCGGAAATATATATAATTAGGTGAGCCTCCAAACACTGTATGGTGCACACAGTCAGGGAAAGATTTCAAAGGAGGACAATTGTATAAAATAAATTGAAAAAAACATTTCTCAACTGGGACTGGTTGAATCATTGTTTACCAAGTCCAGACAATATACAACTACGATACAAATGTGATGTTACTTGCTAGTATGTTTGTGTTTAAACTTGCAATACATATTTTGTTTTGTACACACTATCATTCTAGATGTGTTCAGCACAATTTATTTTTAATGTTCTGCAGCTGTGAGCAGCCTGTTGCATTTTGGGGGATCATCAGCTCACAAATCAAGCATTTTTTCCTGCCGCATTCCCAACATATTATTCAGAGTGTAATTACGAGCAGCCATGTGGGAAACGGTTCACATAGAAGTTCTAATTCTGAATCAGACATAATCTGATTTTCTGACATCTATAATATCTCACAAGGTCCCTGTAGTGTTTTTCTTATCTTCCCTTTCTCCTCACAGGGAATTCATCATTAGTAGGTTTTTTTCCTCAGTTCCTTAGTTAGTTGAGTTAGTTGTGTTACCATCGTGGATCCATATGATTACTACTGTATCCGAAGCCAATGAAGAATTAAAAATCCCAAGTGTAAGAAGGTAAATCCTCACAGATAATTATTGCAAACATAATAACCTTTCAATCAATCTTGGGGAAAATGCTGAAGCAATAAGAAGAAAGGGATCGACTTATAAAAACGTAATTAGCGAACCAAAAATTAGGAAAGGGACGATTTATAATATCACATATCAACATCATATACCACGTACCACAAACTCTACAGATATTACCAACCTATTGCAACCACAACTTTTGACAATAGCAATAACAAGTGCTGGTGTAATTACTTTTATAGATATAACCTGTGGGGTTGAACCTCCTGAGAGTCTGTCTCATGAGGAGTGTATTGATCAGTGACTCTAATAACGTGCCTTGTGGTTGGTTGTATGTTCTGTCAGTTATCCCATGAGTTTACTGTAATTGTCTTACATGGAGAGAAAAAGGTTTAATGAATTAAATACTTGGCTTAAGAAATTGACGGTTTGCATTTCAAACAGGCGGTACACCAGCTTTACTATAGCAGCGAATAGAAAAAATGAATTATCCACAGGAAAACAGTAATTATAGTAGACGCGGCCACAACACTTGACCTGCCTTTTAATGACACTAGGATTAGAGACTAGGGTGAAGACAGACCTGACCCGTGAATCCCTGGCCGTCCTCTGACTGCAAGAAACTGCGGTAGACCTGGTTGGCTCTGGCGATCACGGTTGCCACGGCATCCTGGTAGCGAGGTGAGACGATAGCGAGGAGGGGGAGAGCAGCCAGAGGCAGGTGGTCCACGCTGCTGGACACACAGCTCTCATCATAGCTGTACGGGTTGAGACTGGATGAGAGGAAAAAGGGAAGTAACAGAGATGCAATACAGTGTAACAAATTATAATAGATTGCATCATTTTCCGCTACTTAAGAAAGTCCTTAAGTAGTGTTTCCTTCAACTTTGTAAAAGGCGAGTCATCAGTTTTTAATACAAGTCATGTCCCCTTGACTTTCTTAAATTGTATTAATATCTAATCTAATCTGATCATGATGTACTTTATCTAATTTGAGGAAAGGCTATGTGTTTGTGTGTGTCTGAGAGTGTGTGTGAGTACTCAAGCATGATAAGGAGAAGAGGGATATTATCTCGAGGATTGATATAAAAGAAGACATGGTGTCTTTATTGCTGTTTAGACATTCATTGAAAGACAGCAGATGCAAGTCAGGCACTTCAGACACTTCATGTGACAGCTGGGGGAAAAGTAAAAGATGGCGTTGCCCTGGACTCTCTCCTTGAGCAGACGTGCCAACCCTGTCATCATCCATCAGATACTCTGATTACAGGAAGGAGACCAAACAACACATCAAGGCTGAAATATGTCGGCAACCATGGACACCTCACTGCAGAGAAGGGCACAACCTCTGTACAAGCATAATTCAACACTTTGGAAGGACACATTTGCTCTCCCTGATACCGCTAAGATTTTAATATTAGAAATTAATAAATCTCTATTCTATCTAATCAATTGAAATATATACTGTATGTCATATATTTAGCGTGGCTCAACAAATTCAATAGGATTTAGATAATCATTCTTTGGGTAAGCATGATATGACCAAAAACTTTTTTAGGAAATCTGTCTCAATATATTCAAACATCTGTCACACTTAAGCCTGAAATCACACCCTCTATATGCCAAACCCTTTGCATTTTGATAAGGAGACAGGATACAAACTACACATATTAGTCACACAACCAAGATAAAAAAACATTGATAGCTTTTCATGGGCATTGGCCATTTGGAATGTGTGAAACAGAATTTCAACACAAAAGTATAACTTAATGTAGCTTATTAGCTATTGCCCAACACCTGGGCCCAGTGGTCTTGTTACAGTTCCTGCACACTTTCCATCTCCAATTCTAAACAAGCCCAAGGTGATACCTCACAGTATGTTAGCCAACAAGAGAGATCTCCCAAAATACTCTTGTTGTTCTGCTAACTGGCACAATGTTTTATTTATTGGTATGCGAGTAACACCAAGCATGCCCATTGTGCTTCTGAGGTGTATGATGATGAAGTCTGTTAATTCTTTTTTTTTTTCAAGTTTCCATGGTAACAATATCCCTTGAAAATTACTTGGTTCTCCAACTTGAGGAATGATTGGCGCCGGAGCAACTTAATATTCTTTCACTGATTATGTCCCACTGTATGTTAGTCAGATTCAGCCAATTACTTGATTGCTTACACTGACTGCATGAATGTGTAAATCTTCTCATTACAGTAAACGTCAAAAATAAAACACATTCCAAATCTAATTCATTGTATAAGGCTCGAGCCAAACTGTTTTAAAGTGTGTGCAGTGTTAAATTGTTTGGTTTCTGTTAAGACTTCGGCTTTCATTCATCTGTTTTTTGCTCATAAGACAATAAGATGTATGTAATACAGGTTTTATATGCATTTGATCATCTAAAAAAAACAAAAACATCTTTGCTGGCATGAATATGGTATGTTGCCAATTAGACAACATGGTATATAGATAGATAGATGTATAAATGAATGGCTGGTTTAAAGAATAAGAACAAATAATAAACAGCAAACATATTGTGTGGTCCTTTGTTCAGGAGCAAAGTACTTCTAATCATATAAAAAAACTCCATTATCATCATCATCTTGTCATCATGATTGTCCAACACCACATGCTCAAAACAGCCACAGACAACCTCGTTGGGATTTCAAAATAACATGCTACAGGCTCTGTGAAACCTTTCTGGCAGAAAAGAGACAATTGATGTGACTGTTTTGCTTCCAGCAACGGCATATTCACCAGTCGGTCTACCACATGCAGGGGATAAAGCCACCTCCATAATCCACACTGCCAACACAATAGCAGACAATGACAAATCTGTGTTGTAGGGCGATTATTTACATCAGCCATCAGAGTAAATGGATTAAAAACCCATTCTATTTGATATAAATATGTGAAAATCCAACTGGAAAGAATACACAACATTTTGAATATGTGTATATATATATAATCATGTTTTGTTGGTAAAAGCTACATAAAAACAAAATCACAAAAGACAAATGTAATTTCAACTGTTGACCGGCTCTGAGCAGTTGGGTGCTGCGAAAGCAAAAAAATGTATTGAGCAAAGTCCAGTTCACAGCACATCATCAACAAATCAAATGGGAGCAGGTGAGAAAGAAACATTTGTGAGACTAGCATGAATGCCATCGCGCCTGCCACCGCTGCCAAGTGCCACGAGATGTCACAAAAACAAAGTTTGTCGAAGCTTCCCTTAGGAATAAAGGGAAATTGTTACAAAAACTCCCTTTACAGTACATGTATATGCAGTCAGAATGATTTAAAGTGAAATAAGTTGAACTCATTCATTTACATATTCTAAAGTTGCACCTTAGATAAAGTACATTAGGGCTAAATATCACCAGATAAGGCTTTAAGACTAAAATATGAAACCTTAAAGATTGTATTTCCCTGCTTTTCAGAGAAGCTTTTATGTTACATCCAGCATCAATTGACTAAAGTAACCTCACACCAGTTCACTTCACATCACTGACATCTATAAATGATCCAAGCTCAGACTCCATGTCATCTGTATCCTCAGGGCACTGTCTGTTGGCAACCCATAATCCAACCCTGCCAGGCTGTTCCCCTGTTCTACAAGCATAATGTTTTTTTGTACTGTCTGTATCTATATGTTGGCATATATCTGTTGCTCTCTGTTGCTTTGTTTCCATGTTACTATATGTTGTGTCCCAGCTTAGCTAAAATCTATGTAACATGATATAGTGAAAAATGTATATAATCAAGGTGTACAAACGTTGATTATACTTAAACTAACTCCACATGTTACTGTGATAATTCAACCTTAATTGCAAGAATAATTACATTGATATAAATACATAGAATTGTTTACACGGGGTCTGCCTATGTTTTATGGCCTTAATCACATTATAATTATTAAACTTCAATTAACATGTTATAAACTGAATAGAGGCAGGGAGAAGCTGCTAAACAAAACAGCACTCAAACGGCAACCTGTGTGAGGACTCTAAGGTCTGAACACAGCTATCAAGGGCAGTTTTTTAAGGCAGAATACATTTTGAGCCGCTTTCATGAAGATTTGAAAGAAAACAGCGGAAAGAAACCTTTCTATTGTATAATGTGTGACTTAAATAGCACTGCACACAGTTATTTGCATAACAAAGGTGTCACTGCCTCTACGGAAAGTGTGGTTTGAAATATTCAGCTTCAAGCACAGCGTCATTTTGCTCCAGTTGGAAGACTTTCTCTACAATAAAGTACCATCAGATCTCCTTAAACTTTAAACCATTTGTTTATCAGGTGCCTGTTTATTAAACTTAAGGAAGTTAAATGTAAATCCCAACATCCCAGCCGAGTGTAGTCGCAGAGCCTTGATCTTATTCGAGTTTTGTTAACAACTGCTGCTCACACTTGCTCCCAATACACATACTTGCTTACTGAGAACAAAAATAAAAGCCTAAATTAATATTCCAATCACATTTCTACCTCTGAGCAGGTTCACATGACACAGGATGGGAACAGAAGTTTACCACATGCTGCACTGCTCAACAAATGAGGTGAGAAACTCATTATTTCTGTTGCATAATAACTTGATTATGCAAGCACTTGCTAGTTTGTTACGAAAGAGCACACAACAGAGGGCACATAAACAATTTGTTTGTGTGTCACAGAAATGAATGTGTGTTGGTTTGTGTGCAAGGCATCCTCTCGACTACAGATTACTTTGTGGTCAGAATCGATGGTCCTTAATTAATTTAAGGCAAACAATTACGTCTTTGTCTATACAAACAGATGCTTTGAAAAAAATACTGTTCGATCAAACAACCCAAATCCCTTCTTCATTTACTGGCTTTAATTAATATCAATAATGCCAACACTAGTTTCCACTAAAATGATGGTGATCAACAAACTGGGTATCTGCTTTCTGGAACAGATGGTGCTGTATAGTTAGGATTTGATAGTATTTGATCAAGAAAAAACGAATTTGTTTGTCATACCACAGAAAAAAACCCACACAGTTTTAATGATCTTTAAAGAAAATGTTTCAAAATGTTCAAACAATAGGAAAATTATTCTCTACCTTGCAACACTGGAGGTGTGTACTGTATGTGTAATGGGTAGACATAATTTCATTTCCAATCTCTGCTAGATTTTCCAATTTTACCAAATGTGTAGAGTGAAATTAGTTATTTCACAGTGGTTCTTCTGCTCCAAACCAGTTATCTACACTTTCACAGCTCCAACCTGATCGACTGTAGTCTCAAAGCAAGTAACCACAGAGCCTATGATGACATCTGAAGTGATCCCAGCACGCTCTGCGTGCAAACAAGTGTTACTTGACTTCTGATGAAATCTGGACAATATATATTAGCTTCTACAAACAGTAATGTTCCTGCGGTAACTTCAAAAGCAGTAAAAGCTGCCATACCCAACTGTTAGATGTACAGAACTTTTCCTCAAGGTTTCATGGTAATGTGATGATGAAGTGATCCATTAACAACAGTGGGAAGAAGATAAGGCTGACTGAGCCGCTTATAACTCCAATCAGCCTCATCTCACGCAGCATAACCTTGAGATAGACTCTGTTATGCTGCCCCGCTATTCTCTTGGCTCTCGCCATATAATGTCAAAGTGTTAAATCTGAAGTCAGATTCCTGCTTAATTATGCTTCCAATATTTTAATGGCTGGCTTAGCACTGCACTGAGTCTTCTTAATTAGGGATAGGTCCAATAAATAGTAGCGAAACATCCCCTGCTGCCGAAGGCCACATCAATGAG